CAAGGAGCATCCTATAAGTACTCTTCCCTTTCCTTCCCAAATGATGACCGAAGTTCTAGAGTTAAATCAGTGTAGATTTAGCCTTATACTTGCATATAAAATAGTTCCCTAAAAACAAGAGGAAACCTACCTTACACACCAACAATAAAACCCAGGAAAAGCAGAGATGCGATGAGGTTTATGGCAGACCTGGGATGCCTGGAGTGTGCAGGGCTAGATGTGATCAGGGTAGGAAGGGCTGAGAAGGGATGAGGCATCAGTCGTCCTTCTGCTTGAGCACTTGCATAGCCCCCATGTTCAGAGCAGTGGGTATTCCTGTGGTGTGGTATTTCGTCCTTGTGAGCTGCTTTGGGTGCTGAGAAGTTCCTAATGGGGTCTGGATAGAGACCTCGGCAAGGAAGAAATCTGTTGAGAAAAAAATCAAGATGAAGACAATGAGGGGAGAGGACACCTCTACTCTTTCCTCAGAACTGTCAAGTCCTTGCCCTCCAATTTCTGCTTATCTCCTCAGATCCAGGTGTCCGTGGCCTGACCTCTCCAGCCCATTCTTCTCAGTAGCTCTAATTCTCAACTTGGAAACTCCCTGGAACTCACCAATGTTCCCTCCCAGCCCAATGTTTTCTACTCCAAGTTCTAAGGTCTGATTTTGTCCCAAGTACCTGTGTGTTTTCAGGAATGCTGTGTCCCCGAAGGTTCCTGGCCAACACTATGCAGGCACTTCATAGAGTGTCCTCCTCAGTATAACCCCCAATCCTGGTGTATCCCTGGTATTTAGGGGAGTGTACACATCAAACGTCGAAAGACAAGGTGGTGAGTGAAGGACACAGTCTTGGCTCCTCCATTCACTGGTGGTTGACTTCAAAAAAGTCCCATAACTCCTCCATATCTCAGGGTCTTCACTCGGAAAATAGCCATAACACAATCCACCTCTTAGGGTGTTTGGGATATTAAAGGAGTCATGTTTGAAGGGAATTTGCTCCAGCCCCTGCCATGCACTGGTCCCCTAGTCAACTAAGGGAATCGTCACATCTACAGTTTGGAAGTTCAGGTGTTACCTCTCATGTCTTCAACACTTGCCTATTATGTGCCATCGGCATCTGTGTTTGGTTGAACATTTCCCAGAAATAGGAAGGGGCTGTTTTCATGGATTGAATTCTGTCCCCAAAAAATGTGTGTCAACTTTGCTAGTCCATCATTCCCAGCATTGTGTGATTGTCCACCATTTTTTCATCTGATGTGATTTTTTTATGTGTTGTAAAACCTACCTCTAGGATGTTAATGAGGTGGGTTAGCAACAGTTATGTTAATGAGGCAGGACTTAATCTACAAATTTCAGTTGTGTCTTAAGTCAATCTCTTTTGAGATACAAAAGAGAGAAGCAAGCAGACACACATGGGGGCCTCGCACCACCAAGAAAGCTCACCCAGAAGCACAGCATGCCCTTTGGACCCGAAGCTCCTGCGCAGAGAAACTCCTAGACCAGGGGACGATTGATGACAAGGATCTTCCTGCAGAGCCAGCAGAGAGAAAAACTTTCTCCTGGATCTGACACCCTCGTTTTGGACTTCTAGCCTATTAGACTGTCAGAGAATAATCTTCTGTTTGTTGAACCCATCCACTTGTGGTATTTCTGTTTTAGCAGTCCTAGAACTAAGACATTGGTGCTATTCCCATGTCAGTATTCTGAGGATCCTTGAAATGTACCCATCAGCCTGCATAATAGGGTCCCACAAAAGGTCCATCTACTCACAAACATCCTTCCTCATAAGCACCTGGGAGGCACCTAGCAACCACCTGTCCAT